AACTTTTGCGCTATCTGGTTCATCTTGCCTTTGAAGGATTCTAACTTGAGCTTCGGAAACCTTACGCCGGGTTCTCCCCGGAGCTTCTCTTCTCCTTCCGTTTCAGGTCCCTGTTACTCAGTTCAGAGGCAAGATCATTGACAGCTAAGACCGGCCAGATTGTGCCTCATCACCTTCTGCTTAGGCCTTTTAATTTCTAGCACTTGAAATGATCCATGATAGAGTATGATAAACACCAGGAGACCCCAAAAAGTTTTATGCAGTGGGACCATATTTGTGTAGAAAATCTTCAATCGAGCAGCAAAGATTTATCATTTCCTCCATAGAGTCACAACTCACAAAGGGTGCATGTAGTGGAATCTAGGGTCATGCCTCTTCTAACCAGGCTGTTCCTAATATAGGACATTTTCCCATATTGCACTTCAGATGAAAAAAGCAATTTCGGATGCTGCTATTTGTGGGGAAACCATTTATGATTTATCACTGGGCCTTGGATCATGTTGAGAAATGAGAAAGCACCAAATGGGTCACCAGTCAGGGGTATTTGGATTCACATTACCTAAAGCTCTCACTTTAAGTGATCCACAAACAAAACAGAAATTAGTTAGGTTCATATGACCATTGCACTGGAATGGTCATATGACCATGCACTGGAATGTGGGTTTTGACTACCTTAAGCAAACAAAACAGAAATTAGTTAGGTTCATATGACCATTGCAAAGAGGTTAAAGGATTGAATCTGCGTACAATTGACCTGGCTTGGGCCTACTATAAGTGACAGAGATCAAGTTAGATATTCAGGTAGTTTTGGGGCTTGATCTGTGGTTATGGCCCAAACCTGTTAATAATTAATCTCCTTGACGTGACACTATGGCAGGACTAAAATGAAGACATGATCTCCAAATTAAAATATACAATATACAAATCATACACAACAATTAAGCAAAACAGAGCAAGATGACATATTAGAAATTGCAGGCTACATTGCATTTGCATGCTCTTCACTAAGGGGAGTTCAAGATAAGTTTGTTGTTGGAAAAACCATAGAAGGCCTCAAAGTCTCAAACCTCAACACTTGCAATAACTTTCAACTAAGGGCAGAACAATAATAAACATCCTTGTTATGTGGGTTAGCACTTAGCACATCTCATTGCACTCCAATATTAAACATCATGATTTAAAATAAAATTAAAATCTCTATGTGATAGATTCACAAAATCCCCTAAAACTCCTAGCATATCTCACAACACTCCAATATCATATAAATCATATAAAAATCAATAAATAAATAAACAACCACAAGTCAGATTCTTGAATCCGCTGAAACTCCTTGCCATGTGGATTAGCACATTCCATGACATTCCAAATATTAAAAAAGATGGACAAAAATTAAACAAATAAAACTAATAAATAAACAATAGATGAATGGGCTTTTTTTGTGCCTGAAACAGAATAGCTACCACCTTATTATGGTTATAGATGAAGGGTGCAAGGAAAGGCCATTTGACAAGTGAAATCCTCTAGATTTGAGGTCTAGATTTTAAACGATCCAGAGTAAGAATACTATCAACAACAACCAGCATTGGGCTTTTTTCTTTTTGTTTGGTAGAGAGACTAAAAGAGAAATCTCTTCTTCTTCTTCAGCAAGTTAAAGTTAGACTCTACCTGTTAATTAATATTATTGATTTAAAGTTTTTGTAATGCCAGGTGATTTGTCTATTCTGGTTGTAGCTTGGTCATCCAAAGCATTCATCAGAAGAGGAAGGAGGTTATGGTAGATGATTCCTAGGGCTACAAGCTCTATCAAATACTTCCATCGAATTATACAGGGAAATGCACATTGAAAACAAGGAGAATTCCTTTAGAATGTAGGCATTCACAGAAACCCTTGATCAATCCATATAAAATTACACAATCTCACGAAAAGAAATTGATAATGAAATCAAAACCCAACTCCGTAGAAGCTGACACAAAACAAGAAGCAACATTCGAATAGAGTGCAATCAAACAAGCACAATGAAAAACAGAAGAATAGATAAGGAAATCAAAGCGAACCTGTGCAATGTTAATGATTAACTGTCGGAACCTTGGGTGCAACCTGGCCTCCTTGAGCCTTGTGGCTGGGATTGATTTCGAATATAGGCTGGGATCTGCAATAAAGAGAGCAGATCAATGAGAGAGAGAGAGAGTGTGTGAGTGAGAGGGAAAACTGAGAGGGGGTGAGAGAGAGATTACTGGATATTCGGCGGAGAAGTAGCGGCACTGGCGAGAGAGCTAACGGAGTAGACGAAGAACGGAGCAGAGAGACACGCGAGACAGCCAGGGTAGAGTGAGAGGAGTTTACCTCGATGATAGAACCGATGAGTTTTACATCGATGTATAATTTACATCGATTATCGGTGTAAAGTGGAGTTTTACACCGATTTTCGGTATAAAATTACGTGCTTACCAAACATATGTAAAATCGAACCGGGGTGTAAAGTTTACCCCGGTTCGATTTTCCACCCAAATAAACGCAGCCTAATAGAAGACTTTTATGTAAATCAAATTACTTTCAGCGATTCTTTTATTGCTTTTTGAAAATTTAAAAGAAAATGAAGGGTAAAAGTCATAAGGTATGTTTAAGTCCATTTTAAAACCACAAGGTATCTTTATGTCAATTTCTGAAAATTGAAGGTATGTTTAAGTCTTTCACCCTTTCAAATATGTACTCAAAGAATTTTCTCCCATCATAGTTCATATCAATTTCAGCTTTGTAGCTAAAGCCCTCTCTGTCTCCATCATATTTTAGAAATGTCTTTGTCATAGAGAACTTTCAAATTCGAGGAATTTCAGATCTATCTAGTGTAGTGTGAGTATCGCCATCGTCTCTTCCCTCAATATTTGGTCTGTCCACATCACCATACCTCTCATTGTTTCAAACCCCCTTCCTAATTTTTTGTTTTTTTTTTTAATTCCACATTATTACCCATTAAACCAATAAGGAAATCACATATGCTTAACTATTTCAAACAATCATAATAAAAGAGGGATTTCCTTTTTTAATGTTTAGCCAAGTGTCATCACTTTCCCCTACTTCCTCCTAAATTGTCTTTAATTCCTATTTATCTCCTAAATTATCTCTAACTCCTATTTATCTCTTAAATTATCTCTAATTTAGTAGAGAGATTCTCTCATTAACTATCTCTAATTCCTATTAATCCTCTCCCCCACTTGTTATCTATATCTATCTAAAGAAAGTTTCAATTAAAAAATCCAGGACTATTTAAATATTATAATGAAATTATAAACTAAATTTAAAATATTTATTCAAAACACAAAAAAGTGATAGATTTAATAATATTTGTATTATTTATAATTCAATACTTTTACAAAATTCATCATGAAATTATGTAGTAACAATATAAATTATAATTTTACGAATTATTCAACTTAAATGTTATTTAAATAATAAAGTTAATATTAAAAATAAAACATTATTTAAATATTTCAATAACTAAAAATTTTAAACAAAAAACATTAAAAATAGCTAAATAATATAACAAAATATTTAATATTACATAATAACATTAAAATAAATAAAATTCAACTAATAATTTTTTTTAAATATTTTACATATTATTTAAATATTTAAATAAAAAAATATTTAACATGACAAAATTTTAAATAGTTAAAATAACGAATTTATGTAATAAATTTAAAAAATTCTTAGAAGTAGAAAAATAATTATAATAGAATTCATAATATTCATATTAATAATAAGCTGAATAAGGTGGGAATCTTTATTTGGGATAAGCTAGAGAAGCTTTGTTTGGGAAAAAGCTTAACTACAATGCTATAACTAAAGCGACAGTTGTACGGGCTCAAGATGGAAGAAGGTGGGAATCTCCTAGAACACCTAAATGTGTTCAACAGTATCTTGGATCAACTAGGGAAAGTTGATGTCAAGGTAGAGGAAGAAGACAAGGCCCTTTTGCTTCTTACCTCACTTATTGAATCGTATGAAAACTTGGTGACAATATTGTTGTACGAGAAAGAAACAATGAAGCTAGAAGAAGTTACTACATCTCTTCTATCCAATGAGGTTAGGAGGAAGACCAAGTATGAGAGCAGGCAAGACTCGTATTGGTTACGCTAGGAACGGATCAAAAATGAAGGTTGTTTGACAAGGGATCTGAGAGTAGCATGTCTAAATCCAAGGCTAGGAAAAAGAGCAAGATACAATGTTATAGATGCAAGGAATTTGGTTACATGAAGAAAGATTGTCCTGCACAAAAAAAGGAGTGGGGATGAATCTAGAAGCATGGCAATTGCATCTGATGATGATGGAGACATTCTCACAGTCTCCGAATGTCTGTGCAATTTTTCTCCGAATGAGTGGGTTTTAAATTCTAGATGTTATATGCATATTTGCTCTAGGAAGGAATATTTTGACACATTTCAAGAGAGGAAGACAGGTGTTGTCTCCTTGGGTGATGGATCTACGTGTAACATTGCGGGTGTTGGGACAATGAAATCAAAATGTTTGATGGAGTGGTTTGCACTTTGACTGGTGTGGCGTATGTCCCAAAAATGTGAAGGAATCTAATATCACTTAGTCAGTTAAACTCCAAGGGATGCAAGATTTTTTCTATAGGTGAAGCCATGAAAATCATACGTAGCGGTACGGTCCTGATGAAGGGAGAAAAATGCAAGGGTTTGTAGCATCTAGTTGGGAGTACAATGGCTCCCAAGACCACGACGAGATGTTGGAAATGGAATAAGTAAGGTAGTATGGCCACATGGAGGATCTCTTTTGCGGATAGAGTGGAGACAACTACTGCAAGTTTCTAAGGTATAGGTGATGGTGAGAGGATGGTGAGAGGAAGGATCAAGGTCCCTCTCTAAAGTTAACTAGGATTGTTAGCTTTGGTACAGTTACACAAGTACATTAGCCATTTTGTTTGGATCAGATAGAGTCAGGACCAAATGATTCATGTTATGCGTAGGTGGTGGTATTTTACAAGGCCATATGGATGCTTGCGGTATTTGTAAATAGGTAAAGGCACAAATAGTATATCTCTAAGGTGGTTGAAAAATAAGTGAAGCTGAAGATTGTTGGGATTGTGTCTTATTTTTATAACAGTTGGATTAATTTTAATCTAACGGTTGATGTTGTCTCTCTTTAGGTTAAAGAGGTTTACATATAAAAGCTTTCTTTTGCATGTAGGGTYAAGGCTTTTTTGGAGAGAACATGTGAGAGAAAAATATAGAGTGCTATTGGTGTGAGAGTGAGTTTTTTTTTCTCTTGTTTTTATTCATCGGATTGAGAGGAAAGGGAGAACAGGTGTACAAGGGTTAAGTGTTGGTTTGGGTTGCAAGCCACAAAATACTTATATTGTTTCTTAGTTTTCTTTCATAGTGAAGAACATGTTTCATCTCACTTGTGAACACAGGCGGTAAGGCCGAATAATGTAAATCTTTGTGTTCTTTGTGGTGAGTGTTTTTATTTGTCTTTGCTTGGATTTCATCATTTTTTGTTGTTATTAGATTTCTTGTGATTGTTGTGAGGCCCCACAAAGTGATATCAGAGCTCCCAAGTTAGTGTTTACAATGTGTTCGTAAAATTGCTTAAGAGATAATGGCATCAAAAGGTATTGGTTCTTAGTTCTAGATTTAGAGGTTTAATGGCAAAGGTAGCTTTACCCTATGGAAAAGAAGGGTAAAGAATGTCTTGGTTCAACAAGACTTGGCTAGAGCATTGAAGGGAAAGGATGGGAAGTCAGAAGACATGAAGGATGTTGATTGGGAGGACATCAAGTCAAGGTGTGTTAGTACAATTCGATTGTTCCTAGCTGATAATGTTATAGAGGAAGATTTTGTACCTGAATTGTGGGATAAGCTAGAGAAGCTTTATTTGGGAAAAAGCTTAACTACAAAGCTATAACTGAAGCAGTAATTGTACGGGCTAGATGGAAGAAGGTGGGAATCTCTTAGAACACCTAAAAGTATTCAATAGTATCTTGGATCAACTAGGGAAAGTTGATGTCAATGTGGAGGACGAGGCCCTTTTGCTTCTTACCTCACTTATTGAATTGTATGAAAACTTAGTGACAACATTATTGTACGAGAAAGATAAAATGGAGCTGGAATAAGTTACTGCATCTCTTCTATCCAATGAGGTTAGGAGGAAACCCAAGTATGAGGGCAGGCAAGACTCTGTGTTGGTTACGTTGGAAACGGATTGAAAATGAAGGTTGTTTGACAGGGGATCTAAGAGTAGCAAGCCTAAATCCAAGATTAGGAAAAAGAGCAAAATACATTGTTATAGATACAAGGAATTTGGTCACATGAAAAGAGATTGTCCTACACAAAAAAGGAGTGGGCATGAATTTGGAAGTGTGGCAATTGCACTTGATAATGATGGAGACGTTTTCACAATCTCCAAATGTATGTGCAATTTTTCTCCAAATGAGTGGGTTTTAGATTCTAGATGTTCTATGCATATTTTCTCTAGGAAGGAATATTTTGACACATTCTAAGAGAGGAAGACAGGTGTTGTTTCCTTGGGTGATGGATCTACGTATAACATCATGGGTGTTGGGACAATGAAATCAAAATGTTTGATGGAGTGGTTTGCACTTTGGGAGGTGTGGTGTATGTCCCAAAAATGTGCAAGAATCTAATATCACTTAGTTAGTTAGACTCCAAGGAATACAAGGTTTTTGTTGTATGTGGAGCCATGAAAATCACACGTGGTGGTATGRTCCTTATGAAGGTAGAAAAATGCTAGGGTTTGTATCATCTGGTTGGAAGTACAATGGTACCCAAGATCTCAATGGGATGTTGGAAACGGAATGCATAAGGTAGTATGGCCACACGAAGGGTCTCTTTTAGGGATAGAGTGGAGACAAGTGTTGTAATTTTCCAAGGTATAGATGATGGTGAGAGGAAGATTCTTGTTGGAAGAGAGGAATGATCGAGGTCCCTCTCTGAAGTTAATTAGGATTGTTAGCTTGGGTACAGTTATACAAGTACATTGGTCATTTTGCTTGAATCAAGTGGATTCAGGATCGAGTGATTCATGTTATGTGTAACTGGTGGTATTTTATAAGGCTAATGGATGTTTGCAGTATTTGCAAATAGGTGGAGGCACAAGTAGCATATCTCTAAGGTGGTTGAAAAATAAGCCAAGGTGGAGATTATTGGGATTGTGTCTTATTTTTATAACCATTGGATTGATTTTAATCTAACGATTGGTGTAGTCCCTCTTTAGGTTAAAAAGGTTTTACATATAAAAGCTTTCTTTTGTATGTAGGGTTAAGGCTTTTTTGGAGAGAATGTATGAAAGCAAAATACAAAGTGCTCTTGGTGTGAGAGTGGTTTTTTT